GGATGTACATGTTAAAGTTAGTGTTTCTTGCACAACACATCCCGTGGAGTTTCAGTGATACAATGAGGTTACACACTGAATGGAGCAATAATTAGATTCCATCCATATTTGTATTCAGAGAAATGACAGCATTATCATTACACACATCCCTCCCCTTTTTAAAATTCCTTTCCAAGTCAGCTTAAATCCCTCCTCCCCCTGCATTGATTTCAGTAGGCTCTGGAACAAATTCAAACAGAGCATGGACAAAGTCTCGGTCCTGTTGAATTTACTGGCAAAACTCCCGTTGTACTGAATTTTGAACAGTGAAAAATTCACTTTTGAATGGAAGAGAACAAATAATTTGAAGCTGCTTGGGGCTAATGAAAATCTGTCAATTGCTGTCAGTTAGGTTTGCATCAGTGTAAGATAAAATAACACATATTTTGGTAAGACAGACACAAAACCTATTTGAATATAGGTGAAAGTAGTTACATATCGAGTACTAGAGAAATTTCCATCAYATAATGAAAATTGAAGTTAAAAATTTATTACCCCTGCAAAGGTGACACGATGGACTGTGTCAACATTTGAGATGTGGTCATTTTAAAAGCCAACAACCTTGGCAATGTCCTTTGGAGATTATTGTTTGTTAACAGTGTACRTTAGAAATCAAGCAATCACAGAGAGTGCAATTAAGTGCATAATCACAGATATTTTTGACATCTGTCTACTTATAGGCTCCACGGCATTTTTTTTTGCATCTCCTCCCCTTGTGTCTTCAATTAATTTATCATGACCATCTGTGTTGTATTTTTTGCTGCTCAGCTTGCCTTACTACATCTGTTTTTTGGCTGAGTATTTCATGATACTTCATCATTTTCTCTCAGAACTAAAAGTACAGAACTTGCATTTACTCCAGTAAGTTGCTTGGTTAAGATAATCAAACAGAACACTACACTACTGTTAAATGGCTCTTTAAGTGGTGAACAGAAAGGCAAGAAGGAAGGCAAGCAGTTTTAAAAGTGCCACTAAGGTTAGAGGTATCATGCTCCTGGTAGGCAACTCATTCCATCTTCCTACAGTGATGAAAACATTTTCTATTGCTTTTCTAGAGTCCTTTGAAATGTTTGCCTCSGGGTCTCATCCATGAGAAATATTTGGCCATGATACAGATTTTTTACCTGAAGTCACTGCTTATGACTAATTTTCTTTCCTTAAATTCCTTCCTTTACTCTAGTTAATACTGATTTTAAGCCATCTTTTTCCACCCCTGGCATTGTAACGCCCTTGATTCTCTTTTCTGTGGCTTCAGGATTCTAGGTTTTAATAAACCATAACTATCATCTTTTCCTGAAAGAAGGAAAAAGAGCAAAAATCCAGCATCAGAGACTACTCAGATACAGTAAGGAGCTTGTCTAAGGTGACGGTAGAAAGGCTGCTCACTCCAGTCACTGCTCTCCCTGCAATAACTCCATGGTAAGTTTATCCAAGAGTCCTGGAYAAAGTACAGCCTGCTTTGAACAGTTCTAACTCCTCCTGAGAAAGACCTGTACACCATGGCCATCATCCAGCTGTGCTCTGGAGCACCATCTGTCCATTATTAACCCAGGGCACTCTTTCCTGAGCTGATTGTTTTAACCTCCTGGGCCAGTGGCTCCTGACAGCGCAGCTCCAGCAGATGAGATGTCAAACACAAACATTTAAACCTTGCAGGGCACAGCCAGTGAGCCAACGACCCAGATACAGTATGTGGAGGGAGAAAGGGGACAGCCCCACTGTCAGTGGGGAGAGAAGGAGATGTGTGCTAGAAAAGAATAGCAACACTGACAGTTATTCTTAAATAAACTTCAGCATTGCAAAGCCTGAGGGCTGCTTCTGGAGACTGAGTGAACTTTCTCTTGTTTTTGCTCATGGTGCATTTCTGTGTGGGTGGGCTAACTGGATTTGAAGTAAATAGCAGGAAGATCTGGAAATAAAAAAACTGTTTTGCTGAGGGAAAACAAGCACTAAAAAATAATAAATATGGCATATACCTCTGAAAGTGGCACTTTTCTAAGTAAGGTTGTAACTCTATGAAAAGGYAATGTTCCCTCTGTGAGCCCCATTATATTAACTGGCACATTTCAGCAACTCAGCCAAAAACGCTCAGGCCAGATGCAACTCTACAATATTAGATTTGCTTTTTGTCAGTGATTGAGTGAGATTATTTGCTTGTGGTTGGACCTGTGCAGAAGATAACAGCAATATGATTGCTGCTGGCTGGAGAAGTGTCTTGGGTTGATTTTATGATAACACTCTATTCCTATTTTCCGTCAGCTTGTATGCCCAAAAGGTGTCTGTGCCTTTAAATGCGACCYGGAAGAAGGGGCAGGAGCRGCTSGGAAGGCAGCRSGRGCWGTTCAAAGCCGGGGCTGCCACTCTGCAGGGGGCTTTTGGAGCTCAGCTCTGCTCTGCGGGAGTTCTGCTTTCTGCCATCAGGGGAGTTACACTGTTGCTGCTTAGCCAGCTCTGGTTTGTTAGTTTGGGCAAACAGCTCTCCCTGGACTGCCACCCCTTCTGYRAYTCCTGTGATTTTCTTCTGGAGCGGATCGGCAGCGCTTCGGTTCAGGAACCAGGAAGCAAGCACCAACCAGCCAGGGGGCCAATGGGGAAAGCCGCGGGTGCTGCTCCGTCTTGTCCCGGGCTTGACAAAAGCCAAGCCAGTGACAGAAAAGCACACTGAGCCCYCTCTGTTGCATCCACAGTGAGGAGAGAACTACCCCCAGGTTCCCACTGTTGCCCGAGCGGCCACATGAGCTTTTCTTTTCTTTTTTTTTTTTTTCCCTAGGACAAGAGCCACGCCATCTTTCTCCACACCACATGCCGAGCGACTGTGGGGGGTGGGGGTGGCGTGTGTTCCTGGACTTTTAATTATCTAACAGTTACTTTTTTTTACCTGTGTCCTGCAGGTACCTTGTTTCGTTAATTAACTATTTTTCTCTTCACTTTTGCCCAAACATCTATTTCATATTGGTGGGAAAAATTATCAGGGTTTTTTTTCACTTCAGAGGAAACATTTACTCTGTAATGTTTTTCTCTGAAAACATTGTCTCAAACCGAGACAAGGAGTCCATCCTCTGCAGCAGGGTGAGAGGTCCATGACTCTGACACTGAAATATGAAGGCTCTGCAGGCAACATCTGCAGGGTTAGCAGTGTGCTCAGGTGAGCCAGGGCAGCATCTGACAACTGACAAAAAATAGTAGTCCCAAATGGAGTCCCAAATACATACTGTTCAAATGTGCTACAAATTGTGAGATGGTGCAGTTTGATTGTCATGGAGTGTCCTGGAAAATGTACTGCTGAATAAATCTTCCCTTCATCCATGCTACCAGAGCGTCGCTACCAAGCAACTGATGATTTGAATGCTGACTGATCTGGTAAGTCATGTCAGTACAACGGTAACTGAATCCTTGGTTTCCACTGCTAAATAAGGTATAGGAGAGATGAATGATTTTCAGTTGTGAGGCTTATATATCTGCAAATAAATGTTCCCAAAGATATTCACCAGTCATTGGTGTCTCTGATTCATGGCAAGAATTTCCAGGAATTTGCTGCATTGAAAATATAACTTGGAAAATATACCTGAAAATGAAGCATTTTCAAGGGGTTTGGTTCTGCATTAGTCAGAGTTGATGGTTTTTGAAATAGGTTTAAGTATATGAAAATGTAACTGTCTTTATTAATATAAAATGACTTTTTACTTAAACTCAACAATTCCATTTAGAGCAGAGCATACCCAGGATGCTGTAAACCTCTGCAAACTGGGCTGGCASTGAAGCTCAGGCAAACTAGTAATCCTGCACAGATAATTGGAGCAGAAAAATGCTTCTAATCTCTTTGTTAGTCCAGTTGTGTTTTTTGATCTAATAATAAACGAAACTTTAAAACCCTCCATCCTCATACATTTTAATTTAGTCTGCACTGGGCATCTTTTAATCAGTAATTTTTTATCTGGGCTGTTTTGATTTATGATGTGTGCTGCACTCATGTACATGGTCTGAAACACCAYTGTCCTCTGGCAGTGTGAGCGCTGCATGAACACCAATATGTCAGAATTTGGGCCATAATTTACAAAAGCTTTTCAGTGGGATCGTGACTGACTTTACACACATGCTCAGGTTGCACGTATCCTTGAGTGGTGTTACCTGTCCATGTGCTTACCTTACTCAAGGCTGTATCTCTGCAGCCCTGTGGCACAGCCCAGCTCTCCTTGAATTTGGTGGGGTTTGGCGTATGGCACTGGGAATGGTTTTGTGCATTTTTGCACTTTGGCAAGACGCTGGGTGAGGAGCTGTGGGCTCACAGAGGACACTGGCCCTGTGTGACTGGGACCATCTAGTTCAGCGCCCCTGCAACGAGCAGGGACATTGTCAGGTAGGTCAGGCTGCTCAGAGCACTGTCCAACCTGCCCTTGATTGTGTCCAGGGATGGCACATCCATCTCCTCACCGGGCAACYTGTGCCAGCGTTTCACCACCCTCATTKTAATAAACTTCCTCCKGTTCGYCGCTGCCRTGCCCTTCCGTGCCGACCCCTCATTCTTCTTCATCCCTCCAAASTCAGTGAAACCCTGGTGGCTTTCTGTGGCTGAGGACTGTTCTGTTCCTAAAGGATCTGGCGAGAAATGAACAAACAGATCCCGTTTCTGCGCCGTTTCTTGTTGGTGCAAATTCCGTCTAGAACAGTGAGTCCCCGCGGGGGGCTGGCGCCGTCCCGGTGCCGGTGGCAGTGCCGGTGGCAATGCCGGTGGGATGCCCGGGCGGAGCATCGCCCCTGGACCGAACGGGCTTCTCGGGTCGCTATGGGAACGGCGGCGCGGGCGGGGCGAGGGGGCGGCGGCGGAGCGGAGGCTCCGCTCAACTTCGGCGGAGCGGCGGCGGCGAGAGGCGCTGCCCCGGCTGGGCGCCGGCGGCGGGCGGGAGCGGGCACCGCGGTGAGGAGGAGGAGGAGGAGGAGCAGCAGCTGGGGACACTGCCAGCGGCGGTGGMGGCGGGCGGGGTGCCCGGCGGGGCGGAGGTGGTGTCCAGAGGAGGGGACCGCTGTCTTTGCGGCCAAGAGCCCGGGGCTGCGGTGTTCCCGTTCCCCTGTGCCGGGGTGCGGTCATCGCCCGCTCCGAGCGGCTCCCGGTGGGCCGAGGGGTGCGGCCGCCTCCGCTGGGACAGCGCCGGGACGGTCCCGAGGCGACGGGGGCGCGGCCGGGGGGCGACAGGAGCAAACCCCGCAGTGCCGCCTTCAAAAAGTCCCAGTGTCCCGAAGTACCTGCATTTCTTCGAAGGGCCGTCTCAGCTGCGGGTTAGAAAACCCCACAAAGTTTTCGTGTTTTGGAGGAACTTTTAAACAGGCGCCGAAGTCCGGCTAAGCCGAGAGGCGCCGGCTCYTTGCCGGGAGGCTGTGTCTGTGGAGGTACTGGACCAAGCTCTAATCGCTCAAAAGCACTGCCGTAAGCCCAGCTGTTATCCCTCGTCACCAGGGCTAATCCATACCCCAGTGTGGGTTTAAGCTCGCTGTGCCAGTTCAGAGGGCTTGACTCGAAGCCACGTCSTGCTGCCGGTGCCCTCTCCGCCCGTCCTGGGTCCGTCTGTCCGCACGAGCAGCGGGAGCGCTGGTGCCAAAGGTGAGGCGGTGGAAGGGATGGCTGGGCAGGGAAGGGACCGGACGGGGGACGGGGCGCTCCGGCCGCTCTGCCACGCTGGGCTCGGGTACGGCGGCCTGGATCACGGATAAGCACCGGGTAACCTGTTACGTAAGGACAGGCAATCGAGGAGGAAAGCATGGTTTGTGCTGCTTTATGCTTGTGCCATTWAAAAAATCTCTCAGATTAGACACCTGCCCTGCTAAGTGTCTGCAGCGTGGAAGTCCGGTGTTTGGTAAACCCAGTGAGGTACCACTGAGGTCACTGAGATAACTTTGGAGCTATGGCGGTGTAACCAAGGATAGAACACACTGTGCATCTCCTAACGCTGATACATTAATTAAAACCTGTGTCCGGACAGCGCTGTTCAGTGCTCACAGAGACGGCTCTCTGTGCCTGCAGGTGGGACATGCAGCTACTGCAGGATGGAAAGCATGAGCTTCCCCAGAGCTCTGCCAGGTGCTACCAATGCTGCGTGTGATCTCCACAAAGACAGGCTTAAGTTCTCAAACTGTAAATTTAGCATTCTTCTTTTGGTTGCTAATTTTAGAAAGATGTGTATTTTTAAGTGACTCCTGTCACAAGGGTCAAACGTTAACAGTAATCCTAGTATTCTGCAGTACAGAGAAAACTCTCACTACAGGAGTAGTTCTGCAGTGATCGAGGAACTGAGGCAGAGTGAGACTTCGGGGATCTTCAGTTCTGGTAGATACTGTAACTAAGGTTCAGTTCTGAACAGAAACTTGCAGGTGTCTGTTAAAATGCATTCTTCACCTTATGATGCCATGAGCTCCTCCTGCTTTCCCAGGAGCATCAGTCCTCAGTCTGGATGGAGAATGCACGTCTCACCTGCCCATTTTCACAGCACTTAGTCTGGTCTTTGCCACAATATATGAATAAAAAAAACTTCAGAGGACCTGATGACAGGTGGTATCTGCCTTTGGGTCAGAGTTTTAATCTCTTTATATAATTCTACAGATATGAGTATCCGCAGCGGATGACAGTATTAGAAACTCCAATCTGTGACATTACTGCCCCTTTAATAACAYTGTGTAGTTGCAGAGACTGAAGAATAGAGAAAAATGAGCTGGGGATCTCTCAGAGTTTTAATTCTGAAATCCTTTTGTGTTAAAGCCTTCCATCAGATGATATTACAGCTTTATTGCAGAATACYTTTTCTTTGTGGTTTGAATAATTTTAATAACAGAAAAGCTGTGGGTCTGTGTTACCTTCTGAACTTTCATTTACACAGCTGAATGAATGGTGAGGAATACTTGTCATCCCTCTGTCCTGAGTGGAAACCTGGCTTTGTAGTCTGCAGAGATCAAAGCAAGATACAGAACTGAAGGCGTGTTTGATCCACCATGGCAACATCTGAGCAATATAGAGGAGTTTTAATAACAAGTCAGGCAAACAGCAATYCAGTGTGGTTTGCCTTCCTGTCTTCTGCAGGTTTAGGTAACACTTTAGTGTAAGTTGTGTATGACAGAGTKCTTTCATGGTTGCTATGAGAAATATTGTTCCAAGCATGAGTGAGAATTTGGCATTAAAATAGTCCTGTTTTCAACAAATGGAACTCATTTGCTTTGATAAGTAGACAAGCTGTAAAATACTGCTCTGCCTCATGAGCAGATTTGATTAGAACCCACCCTTTTGCTTCTGCAGATAACACAAAGATTATCTTCTGCAGAGAGKCCCAGGCATTAGGAGAGCTCCAGGCTATTGGGCCCTTCCTTCACTCTTTCTTTGAGATCTGTAGACTGGATTTTCATCTGGAGTCAATCAACACAACTCTCATTTATTTCAATAAGGCAAATCTGTTGTACTTTAGTGCAGCTTTGCTGTAGATCATGAAGCTGTAGCTGTTAGAGCAGCTACTTTTTCTCRTTGTGTTTTGGCCAGTGACTGAAAAACACTTGGTTCATTCCTACCTGAACTTGGTCCCAGTTTCCACTGGATTCTTGCTTCTTTACCTCTCTGGCAATCAAAATTCAGATGTAAAATGCATGATAGACTTGTTTTCTAGAAGACTGAAGCTCTAAGAGTGTATTACAAACTACACAAATGCAAGGGAGGTGAGAGCAGTGCTTTTAGTGTGTTCTCAAAGACTTTAACTACAAAACAAGAAAAAAAAAACCTTTTGAGAGCTACCAGCTGAAGAAAATGTGACCTATGCATGGATAGCATCACTGTTGTGGTATTTCCAGAAGGCCACTGGAGCTTTCCTTTGGTAGAAATGGTACCACTTTTGTTTCTTTGTTGTCCTGCAGCATCTTTGGTTTACCTAGCGGTGATTTTCAGTCCTGCACCTTCACTAAAGGCTCGGCTCGTAACTCTGTGAAATTTCTCCAGACAAAGAGCCAGTCCATTTCTGTAATGCTGACCATGCCAAGCCTGCTGGAGAAAAGCAAATACCGAACTAAAGCTGCATGGCTGTCACAGCCTTTTTGGGAGCGCTTGTCACTCGGGAGCAGAGCCGGGCAGCAGCAGGAGCTGTCAGCCGGGGGCAGAAAAAGGGGCAGCACAGCCCTGAGAGGGACAGACAGGCATTGCCTGGCATGAGAGGACCTGCTGGGTGCCACCGTGCCCTGTCACAGCTGGCTCACTCGTGGACACTGYTGTGAGGTGCTTTTTGCTGTCCTTAAACACCTGCAGCCACGAAACTTGAAAATGAGTTTGCATWTAAAGTGTTCGCTTCATCCCCTGCCCTTCTGTTTTTCAAAGCTCCTTGCTGATTGTAACAGGGTCACGTACCTGGAAGCATTTTAACCACTGTGATTTTCAATTTTTTTAGYCCAGAAATAGCTTGTGTCTGTCACAACAGGGGAATCAGTGTGCTTATGAAGCAAAACACAGATTCTCTGCTGTGGTCTACAAGCAGACCCCTGAATGCCCTCCAAAGTTCTCTCTTTGTTCAGCAGGTCAGAATGAGGAATGCTGCTGTATTAATATCACGGCATTTGCATTGCTTTTGAATTTTTTGATTGAAAAGCTCTACCTACTGATTTTTTCAGCATTAATTGCCTCATAACATTTCAGGTGGAGGTTATGATTGTTTCCATTGAGATTACAATCACATGGCAAGTAGCTGTAAACACCTCAGTCTTCCAWGCCACTGAACAAGAAAGGAGATTCCAGACAGATAGAAAGTAKGGTTCTTTGGGCCCTGGTAAGGTAAAATCCTCTACATGGAGAGAATAATGGCAAGCAAYTTAAAACAACCCCGTACTTCATAGAATATCCTGATTTGGAAGGGACCCACAAGGGTCACTGTAGAATAGTTCCAGTACCCTCACAAGACATCCCCAAGTGTCACACCAGGTGTCCAAGTGCTCCTTGAGCTCTGTCAGGCTGTTCTGTGACCACTGTCGTGGGGAGCCTGTTCCAGTGCCCAGCCACCCTCTGGATGAATGAACCTTTCCCTGATATCCAACCTAAACCTCCCCTGACAGAACTTCAGGCCATCCCCTCAAGTCCTGTCACTGGTCACTGCAGAGAAGAGATCAGTGCATGTCCCTCTGCTTCTCCTTGTGAGAAAGGTGCAATGAGGTCTCCCCTCAGTTTCCTCTTTTCTGGACTGAAYAAACCAGAAAGTGTTGGAGAATAGAGAACAGGGATTCTTTTGCAAAGCTATGATGGACTATATAAATAAAATTGAGAAGGTGTTGGCAGCAGTTTCTTAATTAGAACTTGCTAAGATTCTTTGGAACAAAATTAAAATACCTTCATCACGAGAGAAATAGATTTTGAGGTTCATCTTTGATGCTGTTGCTACTTAGCTATTTCATGCAGATAGAGCCAGCAGCATAACCACGACCACAATTCCTGCCTGAGCAGCTGGATAAACATTGCATCAGTTAGCAYAGAATTCAGAGATGGGAGTAGCCAAACCAGTTTTAATCTACCTATGAGTCKCAGTCCAGGCAGATACTGGATACCCTTTGCTATCTGAAGGATACTGGGTTTTCCTGGACAACGTAATCCAAACTTTACTAAAGAAGAAAATAATTTAAAACAAAGTTTAATATGCTCTGCAGTKTCACATTATCTATTTTTCTTGTGACTTCATGTCTTTTAAAAAGTACAATTATGGAGACAATTTGGAGATTTGAGGTGCTTATTTTAGAAATGAGTTTCCCTGTTACCCCATGATCTGGCATGAAAAGGCTGAATGGGTATCTTGCATGAGCAAATTCTGCTCTCTGTAGATGTGAGAAGCKCCCACCCATGAGCAGGAGGGAAGGTGTTTCCCAGCTCCTCAGCCCAGTTTTTTGGTGTGCTTTGGGTGATAGTGGATTTCTTGGGAATCTATCTATAGCTGAGTGACAATTGACATCACTGGATTATGGATTAGGCTCCTGTCACCGAACCCCTTAAGGCTTCTCCTTCTGCTCCAACACAATTGCCACACCCCCAGGGCTCCTGAGGGTCACACAGGATTGTCAGCAGCATTCCTGGGCTTTGGAGGCAAAGGTGAATCATGGGAGACTTGTCAAACCAAGGACATACCTTTACAGAGAGTCCTACTGTGCTCTCATTTTTTTCAGAAATGCACATTTTCCACTCTCTGCCTACATTTCTCCTGTCCTGCAGGGCATTACAAGCTGGGAACAGGAGAAGGATCAATGGAAAGGATTCTTTTATTCTCARAAGTTAATGTTTCTACACACTAGACAGGCCCTGCTGATTGACTCATGGTTTACCAGAAAGCAGCCCTGCTCCAACACGTCTTAGCAAGCAGTGATCCAACCTGCACGAGCCCGGAGGAGACTGTGTCTGTCAGGTTGTATGAACAGCCTGAGCAGGCCAAGGAAACCTACTCCCTGTGCTGGTAAAAGAGCTAGGAAGGGCTGAAATCCTGTTTTAGGAAGGTGAAAAAAACAGATAAGAATGTTGATATTTTTGATGATTCTTTGGTGCACTCTTTGGGACAAGAAGAGGAAATCACATGGGGCAACAAGAGAGAAAGTAAAAAAAAAGGAAGATGAGGTGAAATTGTTCAGAACACGCCCTGAGAAAAGAATGGAGAAAGCTGTAAAGTACATGAGGAGAAAAATGCTGGAATTGCTGACAGTGTAGAGAACAAAAAGAAATTTTGAAGAAAGACAAAACAGGAAACATTTATGTGAAAAACTCTCAGAGGGACTTACTAACAATTGCTAAAATTTGAAGCAACCTCTCAGAGGCTTTGAGAGAGAGAGAGAGAAAGGAAGGTGTTCCAGGCTTTAGCATAGCTGAGGTAAAGATGTGCATAAAGCTCTGTGAGGTGGTTGGTCAGGCTTGCAGTGTGAGGGGAAGGCTTGTTTTCTAGAGAGAGATCTAGGATCAATGACAACAAGGTCTGGAAATCCAGATCTGTTTCTGGGGTGGGACTTACATAAACCCCTCTGAAATTTTGTTTGAGTAACACCAGTAGTTAATCAATTGGATTTTGTCAGCTCCCATGATAGCCTCTAACAAGGAATTAGAAAATGGACTATTTGTACAACAGAATGATCTGTATTCAGCTGGGGCAATGTCTCTTTTTAAAAATAATTTTAATGTGAATACTTGCAAAGTGGTAATTTGTCCTTCTCCCCAGTGAGAAAGTCAGGCTGTAATTTCGGCCTTTCTTTGTCCACATCTTGCCAACAATCCTTTGGGTTTTTCCACATGGGAAAGCCATTTTGAGCCACTTAATGATTAGCCTGCCTGTGAACTTTAAATTAAAACCAGCAGCCACAATTAATGGGCCCACAGTATCTTCTGCAGGCTGCAAAGAGCAGTAGTGGGAAGAGTGGYGGCTTGTGGAGCCTGCTAAATGGAGATGGCCATTTGCCAGCTCTCAAAAAGAGGAGGTGATGGATGAGAGAGGGGGAAGGAAACAATCTCATACAAACAAGACTCCCTCAGGAACAGCCAGCACAAGCTGCCAGTGTGCACGAAATGCTTGCATGGGGTTCTCTGTGATTTRAGAACAGGCCATTTCAATTTCAGGTGAGGTGCTTGCCTTCCTTTATATTCTCATCTGGAAGAAGATTTTTTTTATGCCATGTGATGGCCCCATTTGGGGTCAGTGGTACCCATGTTCCCATACCAAAAGCAAATGTGCCTGTTACCAGGGCTTTCTGAAAGCTCTGGGCCTGGGCAAAGCTCTGCTTCAGCAGGCTTTGGTATCAGCAGGCAAGGTATTATTTTCCAATGTTTTTCTGTTTATTCTCTGCAATACTTGTGATAGATAAAATGGTTGTCATGCAGAGCACCTTGCTTTGAGGAAGACCTGTGGGGRAAAAAAAAAAAACCCAACAAAAATCCATAAAAGCARTAAGAACAGCCCAGGAACATGTAAAACCCAAGTCTTCTTGCTCTGACCACTGAATTCCCCTCTTGCTCCTCTTCTAATGAAACAGCTGGTGAGCTAAGAATAGCGGGAAGGGCATTCCTCAGCTTCACAGTTGTAATGCTTTAYACTGATTTACCCCTAATGCCACTGAAGTCAGCAGAGTTAAACCAATGTCAGACCAGGTCACAGGCAGAATAAGCTCAAATTAAAATACAGAAGGGCATGTTCACCTTCACTGGATAAAGGCACAAATAGAAATAATAATGGTACCTTATGCTGTCAGGTACCTGTAGAGCTTACAAAAATTACTGTCATCACAGAAGCTGAAAAGAAATAGGAGACTTTAAATTATTTACAACAGCTTGTGGTCTGTTATGCTCCTCATTTTTGTTAGCGATACGCAGGGGGTGATCAGACCAAGCAAAAGCTCTTCATCCTTCATGATATGTAATGGTGAGTGGAGGCCACCAGGATCAGGGACTCAAAGCCATCAGCACTCAGTGCCAGCACCAGTTTGTCCCTGTGTTGGGCGAGTGAGCCACTGCAGCGCTGCGTGGTGGTGTGGAGAGGCTGGTTGGAGTCACCCTGGTGATCACACAAATGGAAGGGCTGGAAGGGCTGGCTGGAGCCACCCTGGTGATCACACAAATGGAAGGGCTGGAAGGGCTGGCTAGAGTCACCCTGGTGATCACACAAATGGAAGGGCTGGAAGGGCTGGCTAGAGTCACCCTGGTGATCACACAAATGGAAGGGCTGGAAGGGCTGGCTGCTCCTCCTCCAGGACACACAGATGAGGAGGAGCGGGATTACTCGCGGCAGCTGCCGGCTGTGACTCCTGCCATAAGGATAATCACAGCGATCTCTCCTGCACAAGCCCTGTAAAGCAGCCCCAGGTGCTCCTGTCGTGGGAGAGCATCTGTGGCATCACACTCCGAGGCAGCTTCCTCTGTGGCCTGTGGAAGTTTTCAGCCCTTTTATGTCCTCCTTCTGAAGGAACTGGTATTGCTCGCTCAGAGAGATAGGATATGGGACTAGAGAAATGAGCCCTTTGATGCAGTTTGGCAAATTTCCTGATTATAGAAAAGCYTAAGTGTTAGAGCCTGAAATAATTACCAACATGGGATGGGATACTGTACAGACKATCCAGGTTTTTGGAGCATTTTCCTTTAATGGTGTTAGTATTAGTATTTTTGAAAGAGAACAAGGCTATGGCAAGTGAATGATGCATGGAAGCATCTTTTCCTCACAGTCAGGGCAYAATCCTGTTGATCATTTCTCATCTAGGGATTCTGGGAGCTCATGGCTCTCAGAYTGAGAGGGAGTACTGTGCACTTATGAGCTTTTGGTGATTTTCATTGTCACTAAAAGCCCTAGACCCCAATGTGGAAACTTAAACCAGAAGGACATTTTTCCCCATTTCGTGTCTCTCCTTGTGTCTGTGTCCCAACAGGGAGGATTTGCTCAGGCCCTGCAGAATCAGACTCTTTAATCCCTTGCCCTCATGTTAACTTTTGACGCCATGTCCTGATTGGGCTGCTGCCAGGAGCAGCCTTCCAGTAATCCCAGCTGCAATCATTATTTGTGCCACCCCTTGTCCCCAGGGGCTAATGGAAGGGAACAACAAGGCACGTAAGAGCACTGTGTGAAGAAACAGATGCTGTTTTGCTCCTGTTCAGCTCCCTGGTGCCTGTTTTGGATTCCATTGTGTTTAAACTCAAGCACAATAGGTAATAACTTTGTTCCATGCATTGTCCTCCTGAAGGGACAACATGAAGGGATTGGCTGGGTGGGGAGTTAATTCCATCTTTTTCTGAGCTSATTGATGCAATTGGTTCTGTTTTCTAAGTGCTGGCTGACCCCCCAGCAGTAAAAGCCTCTCACTTAGAAGGARCAACAGTTTAAACCTCAGTGTGCTTCTGCTTCCCTCTCAGAGCAGCCTCAGCTCCCTGGGCACTGAAGCAGAGCTCTGCAGCGAAGCTCACAGCTGGACTGCAGCTTGTGGCAGGTGCAGTGGCCTCTATTAACATTTGTTAATAACTTTAAAGCCCTCCTGGCCTCGTAGCTGATGGTCCTGTGAGTGCTGCTCTGATGTTACAGCAGCAGCAAACCTGCCCAGGTATACCTGGGCTGTGTGCAGGGTTCTGGTAGTCACRGGGGGCTACAGCAGTGGCTTCTGTGAGAAGCTGCCAGAAGCTTCCCCCACATCCAAGACAGACAACMCCAGACAGCTCCAAGATGGACCCAGAGCTGASCAAGGCTGAGCCCATCAGTGCAGGTGTSCCCTGCAGCCTGTCCATGGTGGAGCAGAGATCCAGCTGCAGGCTGTGGGGACCCCATGCCAGAACAGTGGGATGCCTGAATGAGGCTGTGACCCCACGGGAAGCTCACGTTGGCAGAAGTTCCTGGTAGGACCTGTGGACCCAKGAGAGAGGATCCCAYGCTGGAGTAGGTTTGCTGGCAGGACTGGTGACACCACGGGAACCCACAGGATCCATAGGCKGGAKCAGCCTGTTCCTGAAGGGCTGCACTGCCTGTGAGAGCCCCAGGCTGGTGCAGTTCATTGAGAAATSCAGCCCATGGGAAGGACCCACACTGGGGAAGTTCAYGGAGAGCTRYCTCYTGWGGGAAGGACCCCACAAYAGAGCAGAGGAAGGATGTGAGGAGGCCTCCCCATGAGGAGGAAGGAGCTGCAGAAACAGCATGTGGTGAACTGATCACAACCCCCATTCCCTGTCCCCCTGTGCTACTGGGTGSGAGGAGGTAGAAAATTTGGGAATAAAGCAGAGCYCAGGAAGAAGAAAGGAGTGSGGAGAAGTTGTTTTAAGRTTTGGTTTTATTTCTCATGATCTCATTGTGATTTGATTAGTAATAAACTGATATACCCAAGTCRAGCCTGCTTTGCCCATTACAATAAATGCTGAGTGATTTCTCTGTCCTTATCTCCAGCTATGAGCCTTGCCTTACATTTTCTCTCTCCTRTCCAGCTGGGGAGGCSAGAGATAGAGCAGCTTGGGTGGGCACTTGGTGGGCACCAGCTTCAGCCCACCACACCAGGATACTTATCCTGCCTCCTCCCTAAGGATCTCCTGGCTGGAATGTATCTCCCAGCAATCGTCTGACTCCATGCATTGAGTTTTTACAGGCAGGGTTGCTGCAAGGTCGTGCCCTCCCATGAGGGTTCAGCCAGGTGAGCCTGAGCCCCAGCTCTGCTGCGTGGGCAGGASAATGCTTCCCCAGCCCAGCCTGGAGGGACCGAGGTATTCTTGTAATCTGACTAAAGTTGTAAAGTCTGTGACTCATTTTAATTACAACGTGAATGGAAGTTAAGAGAGACGGTGCYTCTTCACCCTTTTTCTTGCCCTCTGCACAAGCTGGCTGAATGAGATTTCTCARGGTGTCCAATTATTTCCAAGTGGTTCCAGTGGCAATTTTAACAACAGACTGGAGGGGGTGTGTGGGGTGAAAATGTTCTCAYTGAGATGTGTTGATGATGGCACTGTTCTTTTTGTCTCCCTCTCTCCCCTCCCAGCGAAGACACGCAGAGCATTATGTCACTGGCATCCTGGTTCAGGTGGAATGAGCCCCCAAACCGCATTTCCCAGAGGAACCCCACAGAGATGGTGGTTGAAACGCTCATGATGGAGCTGAGCTGGCAGATCAAGCAGGCAGAGAAGCAGCAGCGAGAGCGGGAGAACGAATACCGCAAGCTCAAGACCGGGGTGGATTACGGCTGGCTGGTCAGCTACCCAAAGCAGAGCTATGACATCAGCCCYGGAGAACGGCTGCAGCTGGAGGATATGTGCACCAAAATACACCCTTCCTACTGYGGGCCTGTCATACTCAGGTACAGGAAAAGATGGGGTGATACTGACCTCTCATTTCCCCCTTTTCTCTTTATGGCACGTGAGGAGAGAGTGAGCGTTGCTAGGACCAACAGAACCAAAACTTGGCATCCTGCGTCGTAAGTCGTGTTGGGACAGTGTCTTTGTCAAAGAAGAGAAATCTAATGTTTTAAGTCAGTTTAACATGACATCTCTTCCTCCAAGATGTTACTAAATGCCACTTCCCTCTGACATTGGCTTGAGTACTTTGTGCTCCTGAGTAGCCAGAGCAGCTTTACCCTGCCTGAGAAACAGTTACCATCTCAGTATTGTGAAGGCCTTTTTTTTTTTTTTTTTTTGCTTCAGACTTTAGAGTCTTAGAGAAACTGAGGTTTAAAGGGACTTCTAGAGGTACGTACTTCCACCTCCTACCTGGAGTAAGGGCACCTGCAAAGTTAGATCAGGTTCCTTAGGGCATTGTCCTGTCCATTGCTGCATATCTCTGAGGGTGGAGGTTCCACATCCTCTGAGAAATCTCCTTTGGTGTTCAMCCCCTCCTCAATTTACGCTGTCCAGCAGGTGTACTGAGGCATTTGTGCCCAGTGTCCAAACCAGCCATAAAGTGTTATTATATGTTTCAACCTGTGAGCCAGGTATTCCCAGAGAATGTCTCCCTTCCCTACCCTGCCTCTTCACCCTTGACATGGATTCATGGGATGCACATGGGGCATGCAGTTGGTGTTTCTCACCTCTGCCATGTAGATGCAGACACAGCCTCTCAGACTTGCTGTTGAGCCTTTCAAGTCTAGACTTATTGCTGCTTGCCAGCTGAGCGAYCTTCTGTGAAAATGCCTTTAGATATTGTTCTGATCCTGCTGTAGCATCCAAACTGGAAGGGAGGGGTGTGGCTCTTTCCTTCTGGGGGGGGGGGGCTGTTCTAAGATAAACCATTGCACTTGGAATAGTACAAGTGAGGAACAGGGACTCTGAATTCCACCTCAGCCACAGCAAAGTTGTGAAATGGGCCCTTACAATCAATTTCCCCTGTTCCAAGGTGTTCTTCAGATGGAATCCTTGCAGGACATATCCAGGAGGGCTCTCATCACCCTGCAGTCCCTCACTGCATATGCTGGCACCTGTTTTCCCATGAACAAATGAATGTATGGCTCCTGAACTGCAGCTGTAGAAGTGTTGGAAGTAGCTGGTCCTCTGTCTTATAGTGGGTGTAGCCAGGAAAGAATGACAAAATTTCCTCTCTAGCCCCCATCTTCCCTGGGGCTGAACCTTGGAAGCAAGYGGGCACACAGCCTTGGCTCTTGCAAAGGTTGCCATGGAGGCAGAATCAGAGATTTGGGATCATTCAGTGACCAAGACCTCTCCAGYGAAAATTTGCTGGAAACAGCACCTGCCTTGTATTTGTGTAACTCCAAGCTGTGCTGTAAACAAGCCACTTCAAACCCCTTGGGATTCAGAGCTATCTTTGCCATTCCCAGGGCCACTGAGCAAGGCCTGTCTGGCAAACAGGTTATTTCCATGACAGCAGGCTTTGGTTTTTGGTTACTGGAGCTGGAAGGCCCCGAGGTTTATCCTCTTCAGGGAAGTATTAAGCTGAGTCATATACAACTTGCTGCATTTTTTTTCTATTTTTTTTTTTTTTTAAATTGAGACAGATCATGCAAGAGATGCGATTTCRGTGCAGCTTGTAATGGTTATTCACCATGGTTCAGGATTGAACATACTGCTGGCAGTAGATAAATGTACTCAACAATGTTGGTGGACTCTGTGTGGGCATGATTGAAAAAGGCTAAAACCACCCTCTTAAAATTCCTCTTACAAATTGCTGTTGTAGAGTGCTGTCATAAATTGCATTACACTGTGATTCAAGAAATAACACATTTTACAGACCTTGCATGGTTAGCAGAGCCACGCTAAAAAATTGAGGATTTCAAAACCTTTGTTGGTTCAATTCTATGATTGAGAAGGGACATAAACACAAAAATGGTGGAACTGGATTGGGTCAAAGGTGTGGCTGATCTGATGTTCAGTCTGTATGTGACAGTGTGGCCAGTGGCACCACTGTAAGGAAAAGAGCAGAGGACAAGGAAGCAAATCCAACAGCAGGGACAATTACACCACCTCATATATAGCATCCAGCTAACTGGATGCCTTGTAACTGGGAGGCTTTTGAAACCACAAGTGGSCCTCCTGTCCATAACTGGCTTTTTCCTTTAGTTGTTTAGGTTGTGGAAGGTTTTTGCTTTTTGAACACACGTAGACTTTTAGCATTTTTGGCACCCATGGCAGAGTTCCACTCTTGAACTAGAACTCTGTTATAAAAAACTGTGTTTTGCTTGTCTTAAATTAATATACCCTAGTTTTATTCAATAATGCTTTCATCTTGTGTTGAAAATGTTAAGAGTTGACTCCTTTTCTACCTTCTAACCAAGAGCTCCATGATTCCATAGAATTCCCATTAGTGATGAGGAGACAGAGAAAAARGAATGGAGCTTGTCATGTTAGGAGGTGAAAATGTACAGGAGAAAGAAAGARCATGCAGTTTAACTGAAAGACCACCAAAACTGGATAAATTCTCTTCTCCAGAAATGACATAAAATAGAGATTTTAGTAACTTCCCCCAAAATTCCACAAGAGGAGTTTAACAGGAATGCAATGAAACCTCCACATTTCCAATTAAGTACTTTCATTACAAGATCATTGCACTGCTGTTTCCTCTCGAGTACTCTGTGACATCCTAATACACGTGGCAGCTTTTAGAAAAATCTTTCACCAAAGAACTGTCTGTGAGCTTGCATTCGGAAATTCAAATGCAGAGCGTGTACCCTCCCAAAGTCCTTGGTTTTGACTGAAATAGAAAGCTTGATCCTTTTGCTTCCATTTTAGACATCTGAAGAGCCGAGGTCCTTTTTGAAATCCTTTTTGCACTCGACAAGCACATAATTCTGAAATAACACAAGTAGCAGGCAACTTGCAAGGCTGCAGAGTTTGTTTTGTTTATGTCATGCAAGGTCTCCTTCTTTGCGAAACTCYGAGTTCAGAGCCAAAGTCAGAACAAAATATTTTTATATGAGTTGTCAGAGATGTCACTTCATTCCCTAAAGGTCTAAATGATTATCCAAATTGTCCTTTCCTGTGGTTAGTCTTATCTACTGAGAGSAAAGTTTCTCTACWTTTGTTTCTTTAGATGTGGAGTAGRYCAGAAAGGAGCACTTCACAAACGAGAGGGTTTTTTTCCAGATCCAGATTGCCTATTTCATATTTTGGGTCAATGAAAACTCCTCTTTGATTCCCTTGGAATTCTGGAAGGCTTCAAATACACTGCAAATAGCATCAGATATCTGGAAACTGATTCACCTCATGCAAATAAAACTATTGCATTCAGGGGAAACCCAGCTTTAGGTTACTGSGTTAGAGATTGCTGACTATTTAAAATTAAATCTTGAAGCCAACCAAAGGARATGGAAGTTATTTTGGTGAGGCCTTTAATATTTAACTGCCATGGTTAAACTGAACAAGTAGAATAGTAGGGTGTCAATAAAAAATGCCAGGTTTTTTTCATCTTTACCCTGAGCTTTAGCACTAGTCAGAAGTATCTTTAATTTCTTTCAGTTTCAGCAAAAGTGAAACTTTTGGGTTCTGTCCTCCTCTGCCCAGAGGAAAACAAAAAAAACCCAGTATGGAAATGTGAACCTGCATTTTGRTGATCTGAGTTGTTATCAATATCACAGGCTAAGGGCTGTAATTTTGTAAGCATTGTGTATAGCTGAAGAGGCCTTCCTAGTAAGCTTGAATGTAAGACAAATTACTAAAATCAGAAATGGATTTATTTACACTTAGGAGCTGAAGTTTGAGGTGATGTGACATGAGTGCTGCAATTATTGTGAATACTGTAATTTTTTGGGAGTCAAGGAGCCTTCTCTAGCAAAGCCTTTCAGAGCTTTACCCTATCAACAGAATTACAGCTCAAAAGATAGAYTCAGGAATCAGCAGCTAATTATTAGCACTAAGCAACCCCATGTTTTCTTTGAATGACTGCACCTATTTAGAGCTCCCCATTCAGGCAGGCATTCAGGAATACCCTGAACTATAAGCATATTGTTTAAGTACACGGACTTCCACTGGATTTAACAGGTCTTTAAAGTTCAGGCTGTACTTAGGGAACCTAATGTACAGGGGACCTACAGAATAACACAGGCAGGTGATAGTGTTTAAAAGGTTAAAAAAGGTTTAAAGAAGCAGTGCCAGTACGAGCTAAGCACGGCCAGATTCTTAAAGTCTAACAGCCCTGTGAAGAAACAGAAGGGTCACAATTTAAAGAACAAATTTGTATTTGAACTGTGATTAAAACTCTGCCTGGGCTGGAGAATGTGCTCATCCCTGTGTATGTCTACACATCATCCCCAGGCCTCTGTGCTGGCTCAAGGGGATTTTTGTTGACAGTTACGTCTCAGACTGAGATGTATTACAGGATAGCTACCAGCAATATCATAGCCACAAATTAGATAGACAGGTCTGCTTTTATGATGAGTAAGGAAGCCCCATTGAGCTGTTTCTGGACAYGGTTGTGCAGTTGCCTCATTTGGAACTATCCCATGCAAAAGTAAGGGTGTTAACCTGTGCTAAAAGACAGATGAGCCTTGTGCAAACTTTTGATCTTAATTCCACTGAGCAGCTTTGTGTGGAGTTTGCTTCCCAAGATACAAGCCCTTATTCCTTGATTCCAGTGCTTTTCTGCTTTTATATACTGGGTATTTTGTGCAGAGAACAGCTGGATCTGCAGCACCTCAACTGGTGCTCACTGATACCTGGGAAAGATGGCTTCAGTTATGCGTAGGTGCCTGCAGCAAAAACATCATCTTTTTCTGATACACYGACTGGTTTAGCTGGAGCTCAGCCCTCATAACCCATCCATCTTATCTGTTGAGAAATATTTGTGGTGTGCACACCTTTTGGACTTCCTACATGAGCTGTCCCTTACACAAACGTGCTGCTGATGAAGTTAGTTCATCCTCTTAGGGGAGAGAAAAGGGTCCCCTTTCCCTTCTCCATCAGAATGAGAGTGGCTTTTCCTAGTGTGGCTGGCAGATGATCTTTTGGATCGCTTCCTCTTTGTTTCTTAGACCTGCTCAAATCCATACGAAGCAGTTTTGGCATTGGTCCTGAAAAGTTAGAGGTAAATCTTAACAGCAGACTTCACAAAACTAAGCGAAAAGAGTGCAAACAGCCTCGTTGTGAAGGTGGAAAGTTACCCTGATTTCAGAAAACTATTTCAGCTGGATTGGTTGGGAGTGTTACCAGCAACACAGGGCATTAGCATTAGAGCTCTCAGCTCAGGGAGTTGTTTGCTGTCACATCATCCATTTTCCCTCTGTCCCCAGGCACTGGTCCAGTAATGGCCTGATGCGTGCTGCTATCTGCTCTGGAGCCACAATCCAGCAGTGTGACTGAAAGTGGAGACAGTGACGAGGCCTTTTGGGTGCACAACAGCCAATACAAAAGAGGAGGATGTACTGATATACATATATAGATATATACATACATATATATAATATGATAGCACTTCTCTTTAAAATACACGTAGAGATAAAATAATGGAATGACTCATTCTAGTTCTCCTCTGCAATAGAAATCCTTTGAAGCTGCTTTCCATGGTATATAAGAATTCTGAATAATAAGAATGTTTAGAWGACTTGGGTTTCTATGGACTCATCTGTCTGTGCTTCAACTAGGATAAAGGGAAAAAAGTATTTATTGTAAAAACTGTATTTTAGGCTCTTTGATAATGCACCTGAAGTGCCTCCTCAGAAGGCAGGAAGGAAGTTTGTCCAGCAGCAAGGGAGCAATGTTCAGCACATCCCTGTTCCTGCTCTTGTCTGTTAACCCTCAGTAAGAGATAGTCTCTTGACCTCCCAGGCTCTGTATAATTCAGTTTAGCATCACTGTGTCAGTAGTGTATCAGTATGAACAGTTGTTCATGTATCAGCATGAACAACAGCCCCTCAGAGGCTTTTTGCATCCAAACATTCGAAGTTCAGAGGTTTTTTTTTTTTTTTTTTTTTTGTGAGGGGGAAGTGGAGGGAGACTAAGAATTCATCCGAAGCAACTTGTAACAGTTAAGGCACATTTTAGTGATTTTGGTAGATTTTGTGTCAATCTGCTCCAGCTTGACACTGAAAGGGACTGGTGCTTCTGCTGTCATGGAGTTCTCTCAGCAAGCAACACTGATGTCTCCACAACTGCACACATAGCTGCCAGTACTTGCTGGGAGAGAAATTCCTGGATACAGCAGGATGTCAAGATGCATATCCAATTTCAGGCCTCCACAGTAGGAGTCAAAATACATGAATGTACAATAAGTCTTTTGGGCTTCTCTTTGGCCTGCTTTCTCTCCTTATTATCTTGRGTATCCTTTGGCACACCATTAAGTAGTGCAATTCCATATGTGTTAAACTCCTTCTTACATCCTAGGGCTTATCAAAAAACCAAGAGGCAATATCTTATTCTACCAGCTTCTGCTGTATTAGGCTTATTTAAATACAGTCCTGCTGCTTTCCATCCTTGTTAAGTTCTGTTGGAGAAAAATATCAAAATGCTTACCTTATACACTTGAGCTTCCCTGAAGTACAAAAAACCCTGGATTTTAGTGACATACTAGTTTAGCTCTGTGTCTGCTTGTAGCTGTAATTTTTATGTTTAGAACTGATTATCAGAAGAGTAGCCAAATACCATCTGTCACAAATGTATACTATTACAGCACAATTAGAATATCAATGTGACCGGCATGGGAGCCTTGGGAGTGGATCCCACACTCTCCAAGCTGGGACAATTCACCCAACAAGGTGTTAGGAATGGTATGTTCTCTTCATTGCCCAGCCAGTGGTCTGTTCAGCGGCTTCAAGAAAACTATTCTGSTCTGCATCTTATCTTCCTCACCTGCAAAATAAACAGTGGTGATTCTTCACTTCCTTGGTATTAARCTAGCCTAAGAAATTTCATAAAACTCCATTTTGAGCCTTTTGCTGMGAAGGCACTGAAGTAATTCAGAGTTCCCTAATTAGACAAAACATTGTGCTGCCAACCAAGATGTTTTCAGCTGAGCCAGCCCATTATCTTGCAGAAATCCATAGGAAGATGAAATACMACTTTGCTGGAAGTAAATATTGAAAGACTACCAAGCAAAGTGACTGGATTTCCCTTTGTCTAGAGGCCATTGGGTAATGCTACAGGAAAAAGAAYTGGAAACAGGAGAAGTCTAATGGGGCTTTCCCTGGTCTAACCTCAGCTTCTGGTAAGCTGCAGGGACTACCTCGAGCAAGGATGTGCATTTGGACAATCATGTTTAATCAGCAGTGATGAGGACATTTTCCACAAGGCTTGTCCAATAATTTTGTTTCTTAAGCTACTGATAGCACTGAGCTCTGGTTTAATAGGTGGTGTGTGAAAAGACCACTTCCTTCTGTTTCGAACTTGCCTTCTAGCTTTGTTTGGCTCTCCCTATTATTTCTTGTGCTTATAAGAAGCAGTGATTCATTGCTTCCTTACATTTCCTGGCTTGCTTGTTATTTTGAGACCTCGGGCATATCTCCTCCTTGTTGTTGTTCCCTTCAGTCCAGAGAGTCCCATTTAGCAGGAAAGTGCAAGTCCCAAGCGAGGCGCAGTGATTTGGCAGCAATCTGTAATTTGATGTTTTTAATCAAAGCTGTTCCTTGCCTGTGCCTCCAGGTTCCGGCAAGTCGTTGCTGAGTACGAACCAGAAGCGCAGGAAGTGTCCCGGCTCTTCCGCTCYGTCCTGCAAGAAGCTGCTGAGAAGATCAAAGAGGAGGAAGAGGCCAAGAAGCTTGCAAGGCAATGGAACACAAAGAACAAAACCAGCCTCTCCTTAACAACGTTTAAATCTCGGTCCAGGATTTCSCCATTCATCAGTGACATCAAGACCATCTCTGAGGATGTGGAACGGGGCACCCAGCCCACCAGGAGGGTTTGGAGCATGCCAGAATTTCGGAACACCAAGGATTTCTGACTCTATACTCAATAAGGTTTTTAGACACTGATCTTTCAAAAACCCAGTTAACCCTTTTTTAACTCTRCTGTTTCTTCTTTTTTCCTCCTCTCTTTTCCTGCCTGTCTGTCTTGGAAGCTGTGTCCATAGTAACCGCTGCTGATGCCTGCAGTCTGCGACACCATTTATTACCAAACATGGTAGCCTTTCCTTTAACTTAGTAGCTATCCAGTAACCTTAAGGGCAAGGCTCACWTACTATCTCATTTTTATTACTACTTTCTTGTGGAAAATGAATTAGTTTTGCTGTGTCTGTCTTCTCCCTTTCCCCTCCAGCCTGGATGTAGTTATCTATAAAAACTTTTGGCTCAAGCTACTGAGAGCTGCTGGCAGGACCAATCTTGCTGAAAGCAAGACAGCCACTTAAATGAGTGAGGCTTGAAGGATCAGGTTTATAAGTTAAAGCTAGTATCTGATTTGGAACTGAACTTGCTTTTCCAACTAATAGCCTTCCTCAGTGCTACAACAAACTTCACAGGTAACCTCAGCACTGCCCTTGATCTGCTTTTTGCTGACAGTTCACAAGCCAACCCTGGYAGAAACAGACCCAAGCTTTTTAAGATTAAAGACCAATAATGTTCCACAACAACTGGTTTATGCATGTTCAGGTTTCTTGGGTATTTTCAGTGCAGGTAGAAYCCCCTGAACCCTGCACCTGCAGAGTAGATGGAAATAGATCAACCTGCTGTGTAGACACACAGGTGGATACCTCGGTGCAGTGTCAAGGGCTGTTCTGGGGCCTCAGTGCTCTGTGTTGCTGAGGTAAGTGCTCCACCTCACACCTCAGAAATAAATCAGTGGGCTGAAATGAATGTTTATGGCCAAGCATGAAAGTGTGCTGAAGGAGAGCACCCACGTACAGAGAAGGGTGAAAGGACTCCTCAGAATTCATCTCCAGGGCTCTCTCTACAGTGGCAGCAGTTGAGATCATTTGAACTCACGCTTGCTGCAGCGAGTGATTGAAGGGCTCTGGCAGATGAAGGCTGTKCTGAGACCTTCAAGAGTCAGGAAAATGCCTCTAAGGAAAAGCTAGTAAGGCCCTAACTCAGCATCTGCAGGGAGAGCTCTCAGCAGCAAAGGAAACAGTAGGACATGCTGTGACAGTCAAGTGTCCTGCAGAGAACCCAAGGGCTGGGATGCTTAGTGGTGACCAATGGGAGATGGGGAATGAAGAGAGGGATTTGACTGTATGAGTGGGTTTTGGGGTATCATCCCAGTGGGGTATAGTCTCCTGGAGGACCCTGTAGCTTTGTTGTTCTTTTGTCTGTTTCCAGCTATTTTTCCTTGGGGATCTGTGCAACAGCATGTGGGTTCTACAGCCAAGATTAAAGCCCTTTGAAGCTGTGCCAACTCTGGGAAGAATTCCAGTACATGAAATCTATCCTAGACTAGAAATGTGCAGTTTCTTCCAGAGGTGGAGGAAGGCAGCATAAAACAAAGATCAAGATCAAGCCCCTAAGCTCTCTGAGACTGGAATTCTGGCTCTTCCTCTCTCCCCTCTGGGCTATGTAAGATTGAAGATGAGGCTTTCTTACTAGCACCAGGCTGCAGTTTCTATCCCTCAGTAAATGTTGCTGCCAGCAACCCTCCTAGGGACAGAAAGCAGCTCACTTTTAATCAAAAAGTCAGGGCTTCCAAATACAACATCCAGTTTGGGACAGGCTATTTCAACTGCAGGTCCATGAGGAAGAGTATAAAGCCTCGTGACAATCAGCTTAGTGTTTCTCAGCTGTACGTCCTTGTGAAGTAATGTGATTGCGTAGATGAAGTAAACACAAAGGCTTGACATACTTAGCATAACCTTAGCTGTCTAGAATATGTAGGATCTTTAGCAAGGGGTCACCACAATTTGCAGAAAAAAATCTTGTTTGGAAAAGAGCCATATTTTTTTTAATATATTTGCAAACCACTGTATGTTACTGAAGGCTGAGACAAGTTCATTAATTTCATGCTGCAGTTCTGTTTTCATTTTATTTGCACTTAAGTTCTGTTTGACACCTTCAGTATCAACCATATCGATGCGATGTTGGATGGACTGCTGGGAGACACGGGGCATTCTGACACACTGCCACAAAGCTCTTTGTTACAGTGCAGTGTCAGTAGTGTGCTCACCCTTTCTTAAGGAGAATCAGCTGCACATTGCCTCCCTACAGCAATGTACCAAGCCAAGGAAATCACTGAAGGGTGTTCACACTATCACAGCAGCCTGTGATCATGCTGTGCCCTTCATTAACAGCTTCCAGCTCGCAGACACCATTCTGGTGCAACAGCCAGCAAAGGAKCCAGATCTGCCCTTTGGTCAAAGCCCTGCATGTTATGGAGGTCAGGCTGTGGCACTGCTTGTAATAGTTATTTTTCCTCAATTTATCTATCATTTCTAATTCCAAAATAAAATGTAATCCAAACTCTTAAACAGTATCACTCTCCCTGTACTTCTGTAGGTTACATTGGGCTCATAGTAGGATCTGATGAAAAGGGATTTTCAGATACCAAGCTATGAGAGCTCTGTTGTTACTTCGTGCTATCCAGTTCTCTTACAGGAGYAGAAGTAGGACCATGTCTGCTTGTAGCCAGCTGCTTGGAGACTGACTGTGAGCTTCTGCACTGTGCATGCAGCAGCAGGCACTGAAGCAGAGCTGGGAGGTGGTCAGGATGCACGACTGCTGCCCTGTGCTTGCAGYGCTCATTTTCCTTAGAAATGCTGTAGACTGAACCATAAATGATCCTTTGGTCACAGTATGTAGCAACAACTGCCCACTCATGTTTGCCTTGTCCTAATTCCACATTTGGTGTGACTAATTCAGTGTCAGTTCAAACGAGGAGCAAGAAACTCCTGACTGTCCCCACCCACTGTGCTATGGTCCATGGCACTGGGCACACACAGCAGGCAAACCAAATTGCTTCTGACTAAAGCCAACCCAAATTATCCATTGCAGGTGGCTCATAGACCATAACTCTGGACTAACTCTCATGTGTGAAGACTGGGTCCTCACTGGTAATTGTCTGACTCTAGAGCTCTGCTCCTCCTGGGCTGCACTACTTGCTAGTGTAGAAAACAAAAAAAAMCAAACCCACTTTACTACATGGCCTTGATGAGACCCTCTGATCTGTTCTTAGACCCTCCTGTGTCTTAATTGTTTAAGAAGAAAATATTAGCTAGCAGCACATTAGCACTAACAGAAGCAAACTGAACAAGAATCATTCTCAATCCTCAAACATTCTCTCACAACTGAGAAAGGATTAAGGGTTTTGGTATCAGCTTAGAGCAGGTCTGTTGCCCTGTTGCTGACAGTGTTGTGCTGTCCCAAGGACACTGCTACACCCAGGAAAAAGGAGTCCTAGACTTGCTATACCTAGTAAGTAATGGCAACAGCTCAGCTGCACTCAGCTTCCAGGGGCTAACACTCCTTACAGGCCCTGCTCTCCTGAGGGTGGCTGTGCAGCCCTGCTCCTGTGGCTGCTGGAGATGAGCCTGGCCACAGGCTGCAAGCCAGAAAGGATGTGCAGGCAGGAGGTGAGGTTCCTCACCCACATCAGCACAGAGTTCAGGCAGCCTTCATGGGGAATTGGAGCAAGCTCTGAGGGAAATACCTGTCTGCTGACATTGCACTGTTTATACATTTCGTTATGGAACCTTGGAGAATTAAAGAAAAGCTGTGAAGATAAACCAATTTATTTGTACTTGTTGTCTTTAATTAAAGATCTCCTGAAATATAATCTGTCCAYATCCAGCCAAACACAACAGCTGTTCCACTGCCCTACAACGTATGTATCAAAGGAGGAAGGCACTAATGGTAAAGGCATTTGATCTAAATGAAAAACCTCCATCCTCTCTCTCTAGGCTACAGATGCCCGCCCTCTATCTTTCTACCTCTAAAATCAGATCTCAAGACACAAGGTGATAAATAACCAGGATTAAGCAATTGYAAAAGTCTGAAATTCTCTGAAGCTACACAAAATCTTGAACTGAAGTCTTCAGCGTGCTTCCACGCACRTCTTACATTAACCAGTATTACCACAAAATGAGATGATATGAKACAAAAGGGATGTTTTGTCTCCTGATACCTTTGAGTCACTCTGTTGATTCCATACCTGACCCTGTGTACTGGAACACYTTAATATCAGCAGATGGCCCCAGACAGCTCAGGATAGTCTGTGCTAAGCATCGTATATACAAAGCATGCATGTGTTTAAYAAAAAGGGAACCATATTTTCCCTCACATGAAGTATTATTGAAGMATGAATTGCATTGCTTAGCACATTCTGCACATCAGACAAATCAGTGGTTCCAAAAAGGGACTGTGTGAGTGCAGGGGGTTAGTAAACCACAGTGGTCTAGATGTAGACTATAGCACAGGGCTTAAACTACTCCTTGCCAGAAGCTGTAGACAAGCAAATCTGTGCTGTTGCTTGCACTACTTCCCCCAGACATTGCTATAGACCTCTCCCAGAAGGAAAACTACACACAGCTTGGCTAGATGGCTAGTATGATATTCCTATGTTCTGCTACACCTCCCTGCTAAAGGACATGGTACTGTAATTTTGCCCAAAAAGCATTCTGAGAGGCACTGGACTGCATCAGTCACAGCCTTTTTGGTTGTGCTCTGCAATAGAGGATGGGCTATTAGCCCTCCCTCAGTCCCACCACCTGTGCCAGGCAGAGATATCATCATTTCAGTGCCTGCCTTTCCCTGGTACTGCTGYCCGTGTGTGGGCTGTCGGCACAAGAGACCTCTTGTTTCCTCTGCATGGTCCAACAAGCCATGTCTCGAGCTGACTTACATCAGAAAGATGCTCTGGTGACCCTGAATGCTGGGYCTTGGGCCCAGGTCTCCCAATAACYACCATGTATTTYCTGTGCACTTGKTGCAAAAAWATATTCTCAGACTAAAGAAAAACCCTTACAGGATGAGATCTTAAAAAACATGACAGAAATGTGAGGAAGAGGCCTACAAGAAAAACACTGAACCATGTGGAGATTTAGTTATCTATATACYCTGTCACTGTCTACTTTATAAAATTACAAATGGTTAGTGTCCTGGCTAGGATTATCCCACAGATTACAGCACCTCACCTCTATATTTKTAGTCACAGCCACACATTGCCTTTACCAAATAAATGTAATCTGACCCAGGAGCAGACACACCAAAGTGGGGGAAAGAGCTTCTGTGGTTTTGACATCAGAGTATCTGCTCTCAGAATGTAATTACTATTACATCTGTTTAATGTTCAAAAGACTGTATCCTCAGAGGCCTCTATCAGGTCACAGTCCATGTGCAGTACTTTTTCCAGCCTTATTCTCTCYAGTGTCAGGTTGTCTAAAGCAACAGATTGCATTTACTTTGGTCTGAAGATGATTTAAATAACCAGATGTGTTAGGAAACAGTGACACTGAAATACTCCTTACRTTGGGGAGTTTTCTTTCTATATTCTGGCACTGGTATTYAGGAGATGGAGAAAAGCAGAGTGCAGTTTCTGAAGAACTCAGCAGTCCCAGGCAGGGTGGTGCACCTTCCAGGTCCCTACTGGCTCTCAGCAACTTGCTCCTGTTGCRTTCAGCTACTGAGAAGTTAAAGGCTTCTTCCTGCCTTTTAAACATGCACCAGCAGAAGAGACTATTGTCTGTCCTCAGCACAGCCACAGGGMAGAAAGGAACAAAGACTGGATTAAATTCATAGGACAGCAGTAATACATGTTCCCCATAAACAACCATAATTGGGTATTTGCGGGCTAATTATAGGRTTTCAGAATGGGAAAGTGCAAAGCCAATGTCCAAAGGTAAAAAAAAAACCAAATAGATTTCTGTGACATTCCAGCTGGACAGCAATGCCACCTACCGGCAGATACTCCTGCACCAACCAACCAGGGAACAGGCAGCAGTTTCCTAAAAAGGGAGGTTCCCAACCTCTCCTGATTAATGCAGGTCCCTCATTTTCACACCACTGTTCTGTCACCAAGACAGCAGCTCAGGAATGGMGAGCACGGTGAACACAAGTACTGTTAGCCCTGGTGCTTAGTGCCTCACTGGAAGATGGCACCAGTGGCCAGCACGCTGGCACAGCAACAGCTGCCACCATAAACACCGTGCCTCTTGGACTGGGTAGCAGTGATGCTCTTCACRCTGCTTCAAAGGGCTCTCAAGAGGCTTCCTGAGACCCCTCAGCAGCACGTCCTGCTCCTCCCTCAGACAACACTAGATCATCATACCCCTGAATTACAATTTAAGACTGTAATCGAACAGGCAAAGACACCTGTTGTCTGCAGGCAAATAAGTCACAATCTCTGCACTGGACAGTAGTTTTGATGATTAATTTTGYCCAGGGATGGAACTAGGTAAACTAGGTGATTGCCAGTAATCTTAAGACACAGCTCCTCAAAAACTCATCACCCTACAGCTTCAAATATAACCAAATAGCAAAACGGAGGATTCTCCGTTGCACCTAGAACCTCACTCCTTCAGGAAAATGCACTATGATGTAAAATCCAGCCATTCCACAGAATCCCCAAATGACAATGGAGCTCCCAGCCTCGAGTGCTGAACCAGAACTTAGGAAACTTAATTCTAAATAGACACAGCAAAGACGAACACAGCAAAGATTGTGAGGTTTGTTCTTAACATATGAAAGGATATCAAAGCTCCACCAGCCATCAAGGCCCTTGCCCACACCAGGAATGGTTCAGTCAGCACTGACTTCAGCCTCTCTTACCTCTGCTCTTCCCTGGCACGTAGAGCTCACTCATTTTTTCCTTCTCCAGAGGATGACTGGGAAGCTCTTACATCCCTGCAGCATGAAACCCCCAAATATATCCAACTTGCACAAGTTTAACCATACTGAATATGGAACTRTTACCAAAATGGCAGACTCTGCTCAGCTCTGCAGGAGGAGACACCTTAGTTCCATGGAGTCAGGTATTTCCAATACAAAGTGGCATTTATACATCCTTCCTCAGCTTTTCATCTCTGCTACATTTTTGTGTGGGCAAAAGAGTGAAGTTCAAGCCAACTGTAAAGGAAATGAGTAACAAAGGATTGCACTGCCCACAAGAACTGGCTGGGATAAAATACTTTAAACAGTGCCAAGGAAGATGGGCATGGCAGCAGCTCAGAGAATGCATCCTTCTCCTCCTTCCCACGACAGTGACTTCTGTTTCTGAAAATTCTGCTGCTAAAAAAAAATCAGTTGAGTTCTGCATGATTCTCCGAATGGAAAATGGTGCAGGGACACAGAAAGTGAGGGTGACAGGGAAGACATATGCACACTTACACAAAAAGCAGGTTTCAYATCTGAAAGACTTCTGTTGTTCAGCATTTTAGGAAGAACCTCAACTTGCCCAGCCAGGCAAGCTTCTGCATCCCCTGCCTCATCCCCTGACCTCTGCCCCACTTCATGACTTCTGACAGCAGCAGTCTCCCTCCAGCCCTACCTCACACCTTTTCCACTGCTCTATTGTTCCAGCTTTCAGCTTCACCCACAACACGAACTTTTTGGTAGACCTGGCAGCAAGTCTCTCAATCAGCCATGTGTGTACAGGTTAACATCCCACGCTGCCGCACAATTCTTTCATGCAAATTTCTCAACCTGATTTTCACCACATTCTTACTGCTGTAACCTTCTCATCTGGTACAGTCTGTGGTTCAGCTGCCACTACAGTGATCTGAAACAGTATTAAGAAGCTATGCTTTAGTGAAAAGGTCAGTAAAATGAGCTTCTTTCCTGAGGGTGCATGGACATTTATTCTGGCTGTAAGGCCCTGTGCTCACTAGGGATCTGTTGGTCTTTCCAGACAGCTGCCTCAGATATTGAGTCCCAAGAAGATGCACGGGATCTCAATGCTTTTGGGGAAAGATGGAGAAGGGAAAGATGCAACATGACTCCAAGCTCTTAAAAATCCCAGAATCTACATGGAGATGGTTAGGATAGAAAAGGAGGCTAATAAAAGTAGCAACTGCTGGGAAGCCTCAAAGAGCAYTTGTAACTGACGGGGAAGGAGAGAATAAAGCAGAGTCACTGCCACAGAGTTTAAGCAGCTTGGCTTTCAAAAAGAAATGATAGCTTAGAAGAAAATGCTAGCAGAGAAATAATTTAATGCATCCCCAAAGCATATCCARCATGCAAAAAGATCTCCCAAAACCCAGAAAATTCCTCTGTTCTGA